AGTCGTCGCGCCGCCAACGATGATACCCAGGAAGAAGCCAACCGGGGCAAAGGCACTCCACATGCTGAAGACCAAGTTCTTTCTCGGCCCAGGGCGGTACGTCTTGCCGATCAGCATGATGCTCGTCGGGAGGAAGGCGGCGGGGCCCAAGCCGCCGAGGGCACGGGCAACGATGAGCATCCGGTAGTTGACGGAAAACCCCGAGATGAGCGACCAGATGGCGAACCACACCAGGCCTGCGTTGAAGACGGGGTAGGCGCCGTAAATGTCGGCGAGGCGGCCGAAGGGAAGGAGAAAAGCGCCCGTCACCAGGGAGAACACGCTGGCGGGCCATGTTTGAGAGCCCTTGGGAATTTCTAGTGCCCTGGAGACACTCGGAAGAATGATGTTGAAGCCGGATATGAAGAATTCCTGGAGGAGTCAGAACAGGGGGTTTATCTTGGGAGAAGATGAGAATGATCATGACAACTTACAGACATGAAGAATGCGATGAGCAGAGCCGCACAGAAGAGAACTTCCACCAACGTGTTTTTGAACGCATCCGGTCTCTGGCGGCCGAGGCGGTCCAGGTCGAGCTTGTCAACCTCCCGGACCTCTGTCCTGCCGTTGTCGTCCGACCCCGAGGGCGATTCCACGTCTGAGCGGGTCATGGTGGTGTTGATGAGATATCCAGAACGATGTCGCCATATCCGGCCGGTTGGGTTGGTGAAGCGAACATGAAAGCGGTGGAGGTTGTCTTCTGTTTTATACAGAGTGAAGCCATGCTGGCGGTGGATGAAGCAATTGAGGCGACGAATGAAATCAATTAGTCACTCTTTTTTTTTTTTGTCCAAAAACGCATGGATGCCCAGACGCGAGAGGTGAGCATTTGGTGCCGCTTAGGGTTAGCGTGTTGTTAGAAGACTCCACTCCCGCTCGTTATCTGATCACGGGCTGACGAAAGAGACCAAAGAGGAACCTTTTTGAATCACTGAGTGCCTCTATCCGGCGGCTAGTTGGGATTACGTGAAGGATAGGCGTGCCCAAGACAACAAGCCGTTCCGAAATCGTGGTTCTGCCGGGTTCGAAATTCCATCACCACTCCGCCCCTAAAGCCAAGCAGCAGTTGTCGTTTTGGTTCCAGATTCGTTCTAGCGCAGTTCCAACTTGGTGGATTCGAGGATTGGTTTGCGGTGCCGTTGCCTGCCGAGTGGCGGAGAAAATTCCAGACTCCAGCTTTGTTCCGTCCAAGGGTCTCGGCCGCGCTCGGACTGGCTCCAGCTCGGAGGAACCCGACACACTTGTTGACGACACGACTACTGCCCCGGCCGAGAACGGCAAGTCAAACACCAGCTCTTAAGCCCCGCCAGCCTGGAATGAAGACAGAACACCGGCAGCCGAGATCTCTATGCCAGGGCTCAACGGCGTACCGGTAGGTGCTGCAAACTCTCAACCGTCCCGGGCCTGCTACAACTGTCGCCGACGCCGGCTCCGGTGCGACCGCTCCCGCCCAACGTGCCGCAAATGCTGGACGTCCGGCCAGGAGTGTCTTGGATATGGCACCGTCTTGCGGTGGGCCAACGCCCCGGCCGTCCGCGGTAAGCTTGTCGGGCAGCTGTCTGTGAGTAGCCACCGCCAGGCCAAGCCAATAACGACCAACGGCGACCAAGCGTTCCTTGTCGTCGATCATTCACTCCTTGATCCTCTGCTGAGAGACCTCAACCGACGGGGACGGCACTATGTTCACCACTGTAAGCGTCACCAACAACTGCAGAAGATGCTTCATTTGTGCTCACCGTCATAGTTGCCACAGCAGTGTGCCAGGACCTGGTCTCCATTGATCAACATGACCAAAACCCGTTCCGGTTCATTCTCCCTCTGGTTGGCCACTTCGACTTTCTTGAGCCCATCCTCGTTGCCACGGGAGCCATGCACCTTGCGGCTCTGAACGGCCCCGAGGGTCAGCTCAGCAAGCCAGAACTGGTCGATGCTTTGGTAGCCAAAGACAAGGCCATCCGGTTGCTTCGGTCAGCTGTTGACACCATGACACCTGCAAACCAAGCCATGGTGCTGGCCGCCACCGTCTTCTTCATCAATCTCGACCTTATTGACTCGGGGAAGGGAGAATGGCAAGCCCACATCGAAGCAGCCTGCACCTTGATGCTGGCTCAGCTGAAGCAAACCCATGGGCTGGACCAGTCCCTCATGTCTCTGGTCGACGCCATTGCCGCCGACTGTCTGACATACCAAGTCCTGGCCTCGGCCATTGGCGGGGTTGCCCTGACGGAACATGACCTATCCGACCTGTTCGCAGTCCTGAAACGTGCCGAAGCCTACAGCTACCACTGCTGCCCGCCCGAGATCTTGCAGATACTGCTGTCGGCAAGTCAGCTATGCAGCGATGAGAGCTCCGGCCAAACGAAGGTCGAGACTGCTTTGTTTCTGCTCGACAAAGCTCGTTCCTTCGACGTCCTCGGATGGGTGTACGGCATCCAGGGCCTGTCGCCACACGACGACCTCAACATCCGCCTTGGCATAGCCTTGGCCCACCGCGCAAGCGCATGTCTATACATCCTGCTCGCCGTTCCAGAGGCAGCGCCCTTTCCTTTCTCCGTCGACATGGCAGTCCAAGAAGTGCTGGGTCACCTGGCGAAGGTGCCCCTGGATCACGTGCTTCACAAGGGGACCATGTTCCCAACCTTCATCGCCGGCGCCCAAACGGACGATCCGGTAGAGCGAGCCTGGTGCATCGAGCGTATGCAGGCTGTGTGGGCGCGGAATCCCTGGATCTGTCCGTGGGGTTACATCCGGACGGCCACGCAGACGATGCGGCAGCTGTGGGAGGCGAGAGATCGAGAGCCGAGCGAGAAGGGAAAGGGGAACTGGTTGCAGGAGCTCAAGGGCATGCGGGAGAAGTGCTTGATTGTGTAAACCTCTTGAAAGATCTGCAGGATCTGGTATGCTATCTTGCGTCAATGAACCAACTTTTTAATAAAAAACTCAAGAGCATGACCCTGAGCGTAACAGGAACCGGCTTGACATCAATTTCACCCACAGTCTTCATTTCGTTCTCGATCCTTGACCCTCGCTCTCTCCCATTACAACAGACATCCCTGGGTCTTGACCACTGAACCCCTGAATCCCCAGAGGTTGTCGTCTTTCGTTTTGTTGCAAACACCCCTGACGAGGTCGATAGGCTCTCCTGGTGGCAGCGGGCTCCAGCCTCATTCTTTAGGTTGCAAAGCTAACGTGGGATGGTGTAGGTGAGCTGTCCGCTGGGGGTGGCTTGCTTCCCCGCAGTCACCAGACGTTGTCACATTGACCCCAACTCGGGTTCCCAGGCGCGCTTCGGATCAGGCATTATCAAGCTTCTGCTCCTTTGGGCTTCGAGCATCCCAGATTTTCGGTCGGGTTTGACAAAGCCCACCTTATGCCGTGACACACCTCACCAGCATCACACGGCACCCTCAGGATCCGGCATCGGCAGTCATTTTGGATCTCAACATCGGGTGACATACGACACAAGTGACAATCCGCAGCTCAGGAGCCGAACGGCGGCCGGCGTGTCGTCTGTTCCTCATCTGATTTGGAGGCCATTCGTCGACCGGTCTCTCGCCAGCTTTCCTCGCAGCTCTCTTCCCGTCATTGGCCCAAAACAGCCAGTAAAACAGCGCCTGGTTGATGCTCCTGCAGGTGCCCACTCCCGAGGCCATCGAAGCTGCTCCGGCGCTCTTCTTTGCGGCATTCCTAGATCGTGATAGGATCTGCTGTGCTGTACGGTCCAAACCCAGTCCAACACCTCTGGCTGCATGCAGCCCTGTTCCTGCGGACAGGTCCCGGATTGCTCAATTAGAGGTCTTTCGCATGTCATTGAACTTTCGCCCTGCAATTACATTGAGTGGCGGAAAGAATGCGATAGGATGCATGCGGCTTCCCGGTAGTACAGCTTAAAATCCCTACACCTCATGGCATTCGGTGAGTTTCCGTTGAGTTTTGCGTCTCGTCCTTTTCCTCAAGACATATGAAGTCCCAATGACCAAGTCAAGCTCGCCCCTCCCCCAGGCACTGCCCACCTGCCCCATGACAGCAGCCTCGCGAATCCCCTGTTGAACACCGCAGCGGCCTGACCATCCCTAATGTACATCCCACGCCCACCCTTACCCGTTTTGCAGCCCAAAGGATGGCCAAGTGCTGGCTGGCGAGCACCCAAGCCCTCCCCTATCTCGATAAAGACCACCACTCCCGCAACCACACACCTTCAAGATGGAGTGAATGTCGCCGAACGTCCATCAAAACAATCTCTAAATTCCGAATTCAGTCATAACTTCTCCAACCCACCATCACACCATGGGCTCTCAACCGGAGTCATCCCCAAGGAGCTCAGTAAGCGGGAGTCCTCTATGCACAATCAGAAAGTCACCATAGGTGTGACAGTCGGCGTGGTCCTGGCAGTATTCCTTGCGGGGTTCTTTTATTTTGTCTCACGGTACCACAGGTCGATTCGAGTTCATCGAAAGACCAGGAGCAGGAACGGGACAAGCAGCAGCTACAAGGAGTCAAGGAGTTCGGGGCAGGGTTCACACAGCTCGGCCGAAAGCTCAGCGGCTGCAGCTGCTGCTCAGGGGGGCTGGCTAGAGAGTGAAGCTAATGGGCGGGTGCATTTGTTGATCTTGGTCTTTTAAGACATTGATCTTAACATACGGAATCAATGTGGCACTCAGAGGATCAGGGTTTCAGGGGCTCAAATGGAGGTCGTTTTTGTCAGATACATTCATTGCTGGGGAAGGATAGTGAGACTAAGTGTTTTATTCAAGGGTATCTTGTCCCATGGCCACAAAAATCACAAGCAAAAAGCAAAGTGTAAAAATAAACCAAACCACCGAAAAAAGAAACCCGACAACCCCTTTCCTCGCGCTTATGCCCACAGCCAGAATTGAACTGACGACCTTGTCATTACTAGTGACACGCTCTACCACTGAGCCATGCGGGCGGAGAAGAGAAGAAGGACACCGACGGGTAAGTGCCCACAGCCAGAATCGAACTGACGACCTTGTCATGATCCTAGATCGTCCCTCAATTGAAGGGATTTACTAGTGACACGCTCTACCACTGAGCCATGCGGGCGTATTTGTTGGAGAGCGGCATGGGTAGGGGTAGTGATGAGGGCCGGATGGTGTGGGCTCATGGTGGAGCTAGGGGTTGGGCCCGAGGCGGGTCTCACGATGGTGGGGGCCCAGGTCGGCCCGGATCATGGATGCTGCGTGTCGTGTCAAGGCGAATTGGGTGAGTGGGCCGCGAAGGGTAGTGGTGGCGGAAGATCGGGCTCCGCAGGCGACAGAAGTCGCGGTTGCTGTGGTGAGCGGTTGGCGGCAACCCCTGAGTTCGGGTCAAGGGCATCAACACGCTTCAAGTTGTCACCGCTCCACAGGAGGCCGACGACCCCTCCGCAGCTCCTCCTCCCAACGACTAACCCGGCTCCTGGGCCTTTCGGTAGACCGGACACGCTCTCGCTCGCCGGCATTTCGCTCTCTCTCAACCCTCGCCCCCTCTTCTGCGGGATGATGCGCCTTTCTCCTCGCCCTGCGTTCTTCGATGACCGGTCCTTCCACCCGAACCTCTTCCATCCTCTCCTGGGCTCGTTCTCTCACTCGTGGTCTCTTCTCTTCTCCCACAAGCTCCTCCCTTTCTCTTCTCCTTCCTTCTCCCTCCGCCAAATCCCTCCGCCTCAACCTATCCCTTCGCCCCTCCACCTGTTCCCTCTCCCTCTCCCGCCGACTTCTCCTCTCCGAGTTGACCCTAGCCTGCTCCATCCGCCGATTGAGCTCTGGATGTAGGTTCCTCATGTTATGAACGCTTGTCTGAATATTCGCGAGCGACCGGGTCAGCCGCTCCGCATCCTTGACCAGCTCGTCCCTTATTGCACAATCTCGATGCGACGACGAAGGCGCGCTGTAGGCCAGCCTCCTGATCGACTCGGTCGCACCCTGCACCTCCTTTGTGACGCTGTCTAGGGCAGCGGACAACTCGGGGTCGATCTCCCCTGACCGCCGGCCCTGTCCTAGTATGCTTCCCACTCCTCGTACTGCTGCTGCTGGTACTGCGCTCGACTGGACAGTGGCAGCGGCAGCAGCTTGCTTCTTCGCCTCCTTCCTGCGCCGGATGATATGGCGGATGCCAAAGGCAAAGGCGCCGACTGCGAGCTGACTCACAAGGGAGTGCATGTCGCCGCTGTCGCTGCGAGGCATTTCGCGACTGCTCCCACGCTTGCTGGTGCGGGACGGTTCGCGGGGTTTGCTGCGGGAATGGCTAGATCTCGGGTGGGATGAGCTTTTGCCATCTTGTGGCCGCGAGCGAGAACGGGGCTTTTGCTGTTCACTGAGCTTTTTCAGAGAGTAAGAAAGGACTGCGCGGCCGAGTTGGTGGAAAATCTCGGGCGGCACGCGGGGTTTCGTGGGTTGGCCGGCGGGCCGCGGGGGCGGGGAGCGAGTGCCGCGTCGTGAGGAGGGCATCTTGTGTGATCTTCAGTGTGCTGATTGTCTGATATGGATGTTTGAGTCTCTGAAACAATGCGATTCTTCAACTTCGGCTTGAAAGGGGTTGGCTCGATGGGCACTTCAGGGGCGACAGGCACGCCCCGTATATTTCGGCATCTCTTATCCCATTTCCCGTAATTTGCAATTGTGACTCGTCGTGCCATGCGCAAAGGTCGCGGGGTTTGTTGTGGTGGTTGTCGGATCTGTCAGGTGCGTCGCGTGACCGCGTGACCCAAACACCACCACCTCCTTCTCCGGCTGAGCCACACTTTCTGAGACTTGCAGAGCTGATGATCCAACAACCCCATCTCTTGAGTATTTCTTTGTTGGAACTTAGAACGAGCGTCGACGGTGCAGCCTGACTCGGGTTTCGATATATTGGTAGTGAGGAATATGGTTGACCCAGAACGACGTCCTGGTCGCTAATGTCGCCGGGTATTGCGCTGGTCCCTGACTTGCTCGCCATCCCTAGTAAGTCAGCTTCAACACCTAGGTATCAAACCCACGGTCGGATCTTACAGGATGGACAGTTCAATGTCTCCCTTGATCTTCGCCTGGAGCTGAATGTCGATGTCCAGGTCCATGTCCACTCGCACAGCCGGGGCTCCTCCTCGGTCGTGCTGCTCAGGGGGGTGCCACAGCCTGCTCCGGTTGCCGGTAGACCTGGCGTTCTTGGGCTGGAGGCCGGCGCGCAAGGTGCCCAGCACTCCTTGTTCTTGAGAGGCTTTTGTTCTGTTCTGGGGCCGATTCCTCGTCGGTTTGGGTCGCCACGTCGGCACTCGCTCGCCGGAATTCCATTCCCGGGCGCTTTGTGTCGCGTTCAGCCATGTTCTAGTTTGAGTATGTTGTAGTTGTTTGCAGGTGGGTTCTTAATTGAACGTGGCCAGGTGTAGGTAGATGGATTCGGTCAGGCAATTGTTGGGTTCAGGGCGCAAGAGCTGGGTTTATGTCGATTGGTTTATGTGGAGGCGATCTGCTTGTGGTGGCAAAATGGCGCCGTTGATGGGCATTCGTGTCGTCAGATGAACCCGACATCTTCGGATGCCAAAGGCATGGGTGGTGGTGGCGGAAGAAGCTGGGGAGAGTGCTCTGGATGACATCACCACGCGGTCAGATGCCGATCGTAACGCAGGACAGGGTCCTCGACATTGAGCGTGGATAGAGTGCTTCTGAGCTGGGCTTTGGTCCGCGGACCAGAGACAGACCACACGAGAGAGTTTGTAGAGTTTGCACAGAGCACCGCGGACGTGCGACTGCAAAGTCAACAGCAGAATTCTATTCTCGGCCTGCCGGTGCGCGACTGCGACTGCGACTGCTTCAGGCCTCTAGCTCCCTTAAAGGCCGTGGGTATCTCAGGTTTTGTGTACCAGACCGACTGTCCATCCAACGCCGTCAAAGTATCCAGTTGTTCAACGCCCCATTTCCCATTGTCCTTTTGTCGTTTATGATAGGCCTCCTCTTTATGCGCCCTCGGCGGCAGCAGCGGCAGCCTTCTCCTTGGCCAGCTTTCCCATCTTCTCGGCGGCGGCTTTCAAGCTCGGGAGATTGGCTCCTTGTATTGTCACGTTTCCGTTGACGGCGACCTGCTTCCCTTCCTTGAAGAACATGAAGGTCGGCATGGCAGCGACCCGGTATTTTTGCGCGACGGACCCGACATTGTCGACGTTAATTTTGGCGAAAGCGAGGAAGCCGGGGATCGACCACTTGGAGGCCATGGAGATGAAATGAGGAGCGATGGCCTTGCACGGGCCGCACCAGTCGGCGTAAAAGTCGACGACGACGTATCGCGTCGACGAGAGGAGCGAGTCGAACTCGCCGTGCGACGAGATGTGCTTGACGGAGTCGGCCATGTCGGCGGGGTCTTGGGAAATTGGTCGTTCGGCAGGTCAAAGAATTCGGGAGCAGCGGCAGCAGAACTGGGGCTGCTGTTGGCTTCCGTCGTGGTCACGATTGCTTGTTGCTCTGGGATGAGGCAGGGTTGCGGTGTCAGTGTCAATCGGCGCAGAGGAACACGATCGTGGCAGATGGTGGGGCTGGAAACAAGGGTCCTGTCCTGGGATGCTGGAGTCGGTGACCTTTTAAACCCTAACCCACGATTTCAAAGGGCTTCTCCAACATTCTGGAACACTGCTCGAAACCGAAGCATCGTCTGTCAGCATCACCACGCACTGCTCCCACCCACCGCGCGGCAGGGCAGCCAAATGGAAAGCGCCCCTAAATTACAAAGCGATCTGGAGCTGGAAAGCAACCTAGCACCTCGGGCGTTCTCGCCATAGCCAGACTCTACTCAGTGCTACCTAGGCAGTCCTGTATCAACCCAAGGACCTAGCCCATCCAAACCACCATTAGCAAGGAACTTTGCAATCGGACTTCGGAGTCATGGACTCGAACTTGTTCTGGCTGTCAAGACTAAGCCAAGAACGCCCGCTGACAAAGGGGCCATACTCTGTGGCTCTCACCACTTCTCCATATCTGCCACAGGCCCGAAGCCTGATGCCGCTCGGGCGGTTGTGGTGTCCAGCGGTGAGCAAGCAAGCTGCTGACGACTTCTGCATGGCGACGCCAACGAGATGCATCCAGGTAACACTCAGTTCCCGTCTCATCTGGCAGTTCTTCTCTGGCAGGGGCATAGCTGCATGGCCTTGCCATCCCGCAGATTCGAGAGGCACAACAGCCCAATTGCATGGCGGCTCTGCTCCCTGCGGCCGGCTGACTGCCGAGACTGACCTGTCACTCAATCTGCTGAAGCTATTGCGATTGTGTGTCTTTGTGACGGAAAAGCAAGGTAAAAGTGACCACACTGGGCAAACATACTGTATGCATGGCTGCGCTTCCGTGCCTCCCCGGCGCGATGGGATGAACAACTGTATCTGATATCTTGCTGGGGAGTCAACATGCCGTGGAACAAAAGATGCCACATGTTTGCCCCGGCCCGGATGCTCTTCCCCGTCAGCTCCATCTGGCCTCTTGGACCTGCCGGCTCGGCATCGGTCGCAGCACAGGAGGTAGTGTCTCAAGCCAGCCCCTGGTGGTGACGGCGGGGCGTCTTGTCAAGAGCAAAAACAAGTGGGCAAGTCATTGCCCGCGTAGGATCCATGGTGTTTTCCTTGGAGCTACTTTCTGGGCGCTCCGTTGGCAAGCAGCAGGGAGTCATACACTGCTTGGACGGAAAATATCTATCGGCAGGTGCGAAGACTACCCAAGCAGCATAAAAGGCGTGCCCGCCCTCCTTCGTTCACTTCCAGTTTGTGAAAAGTCTTACCCATTACCATTGCAAGCATCTCTAGCAACGCCCAGACAACAAACCCAACATGACCTCTCCTCAGGACCCGCACACCAAGTGCTACTCGCACAACAACGGCACCGTCGAGGAGCTCCTTGACCGCTTTGCCGTTTCCGAGCTCTGCAAGGGCTGGCCCGTCTACCGTGACGCCTCGGAGTGGAAGAACTACCGCTCGTTGTTTGCCGACTATGCCACCGTCTGGACCAGTAAGCAAGAGCTGTTCCCGTCCGTCAAAGCCACCCGCTAACTCTTGTTAAACAGCCTGGAGCGGCCCGCTCCCCATCGACGAGTTTATCGCCGTCTCCAAG